TCAGGTTTAGCCAATCACCTTAATATCACACAAAGCCATTTGACTTTCAACTGTGATCAGATGTGGTCATTTTTATTAGCTCGGCATGAAAAGAGCTTTCCTGGAGCATTTCAGTCCTTGATAGTGCAGCTGAAGCAAACAATCAACTATGGGTGGCAAGGCACTGTCAAAAGATCTCCAGGATAAAGTTGTGGACCGGCACAAGTCAGGAGATGGATACAAAACAATTCAAAGGCTTTATCAATTCCTAGAAGCACAGTGAAGTCTATTATTAAGAAGTGGGAGGTATTTGATACAACACAGACCCTCCCTGGATCAGGATGTGTCTCCAAACTGGATGAAAGAGCCGGAGGAAACTGGTCAGCGACTAGAGCACTTGCATGGGAAAAAATGGATGGGGCAAAATAGCATCAAATTCTTGAGGAAAATCTGCTGCCCTCTGCAGTTGTCAATGGGAAGAAGGTTTACCTTCCAACATGTCAATAACCCAAAGCACACAGCAAAACTAAGGGGTTAAGATCAAGCAGAGCAAATGCCTTTGACTTGATTTGAGACATTCTACCTCATCCTTTGTCCAACAATGTCCTCTTTCTTCCAGTCAGGCCAGGATTTGCAGTTGTGAGTAGAAGAGTCACTCACATGAACTATGTGTATGCAATGTAGGCTACTGTTTATGTACCTTAAAAAAACTATGATAATTTATTTTTACATTAGATTATTGCATACAGAATTCATGGACAAGCACATTTTAGGATACCGGACAAAACATTTTTACAGTAGGCTAAATGAAGGCATTTCATTTATTTTGAATAATCACTCAAATTATTAGATTATTAGGCTGCACGGAAACTTGCATTTACAGGTGTGTCAGTAGGTGGCGAAAGTGACCGTCTTTATGAGGGAGTCACTGAATCAACCGATTTTTTCTGAACTGATTCATTCTGTAATGAATCATGTATCTTTAGGCTTGTTCGAGATGCATCGGCGCAACGCAGACCGATCGGTGTATGACATCAAAGTATCGCGAGAGCAATTCAATAGTTTAAAGAGTCGTCTGCTCTCCAATCACTCTCGCGGTACTTTGATGTCATACGCCGATCGGTCTGCGCAGTGCTGATGCATCTCGAACAAGCCTTTTGTGAGTGAGCAAGTGGATCTTTCACAACCAATTTGTCAAAAAACGCTGATTCATTTAGCTACAGAACAAATGTACTCGGGCTTCACAACAGATGCAGGGAGAAAACGCTGTTATGTGTTCAAAACCGTGTAATACTGATTTGAAGGCCAGAAATGGGTGAATGTGTCTCATTTATACTCCCATCCATCTCAGTCTTTGTTCATTTAAGATGAACAGCAATGTTGAATTTGTCCACATTTTGTTCTTGTTGGATAGAGTCTCTTATTTTGTGCTGAATGAATCTCCTCATTTTTGTCAGCATTCCACTCAGTGGTCTGAAATGACCCGGGTTTCATTCTTAATATTGTAGTGCTTCACAGAGAAGACTTGTGGCTGTAAAACCCCACAGCGTCATAAAGGAGTCTGTATCCAGAGGTCAAGTGTTTTTCTCAATGGTTCATGCTGGCCCAGCCTCACATGAACATTCCCTTGGGATTGAGTGCAAAAATTATGGATTTTTTTTCCTGCCATTGCACATTCCAGCTTTTAGAAATATGTTCACAGTTCCAAGTTTTATGATAATCTGGTGTGGTTAGAACAATCTTAATCAACAATCTTAAGATCTTAATTAATCTTAAAGAGTAACAAACATCATATGAATCAAATGAATCCCAGCACTCTGTGCTTAGCATCTTATTTTGTGACACTTTCTAGCCTAAATAATTCATATCAAGAGTACTTTTATCACAGACACCATGCATTTTAAACACAGAAAGATGTCTTCCAAATCCTAATCAGTCTGTTCTATTATCATTTGGAAAACTGCACTGAATATGGCCACTGGCCAAAGGCGGATTATTTGAATGGCACTCAGCTGTTTTCCAGCTGTTTGAGAAACTCTTATTTTTTTTTTAAAAGCACCTCAGGTTTTTCCTTTCTCAGATACGTTTTCACTTAATTATTGAAATTCTATGGTAGTAGGCAAAGCTTTCCGCCTTAAGAAATCCAAATCCCAGTTGTGCTTACTATAAAAACCTTCACAGTTTATGCATACTGAGTAAGAATTTTTTTTTTCATGCATAATGACACTTCATCGAGAATATAGGATCTTTGCATTAAGCAATATGACTTTGTGACACATTGTGTTTGTTTTCGGTAAATGTTTTGAATATTTGTGCATTTGTGACATATTGTTTGAGCTTGGTTTTTCATTAAGTGTAATCTCAGTGTAATCTCCACTCGAATGTGTTAGACAAATGTGTGTTGTATGTGGTCATGCTGGGTTCTCATTTGGGTTCTCACCTAACCCCACATAAATTCCAATGCATTTAGGAATCAAATGATTAAATATAGGATGATGTATCCATTTGCATTGTTTTGGCTTATATATGCGTATGTATGCATTAGGGTTGTGCCGATAGACGATAGTATCGTGTTTTGACGATATAAAGAGATATGGCCTGGGGCCGCTGATGCCTTTGACGATAGCAAGACGATTATTATTATTATTATTATTATTATTATTAGTATTATTATTATCCTAGTAATACTATCTGATTAATATTAGGGCTTATTTGTTGCATTAGGCCTATATTTCTTTTCCCGCGTTTTTACAGTATTGCGCGTTCTAACCAAGGATGTTCTTTGGTAATGTAATGTTCTTTGCTCGTTTTCTGGAGCTGCTTTTTGAATAACTTAGGACATGTAGGCATTATAATTAGTAACTTACGATGTTTTTATTAATTTGTTATCATGTTAAATACAAATTCAGTCATATTAAAAACATTAGGCTGCTTTTAGCCTTATGCTGGAGTTGGTTCACTTTCTCGCAATGAAACTAATTAAATAATTACATAAATTAGCACGATAATATCGTGTATCGGCGATCTCACAGGCTGACGATAGGACGATATGAAAATTGAACATATTGCCCAACACTAGTATGCATTTATTTTACACATTTGTCTGATTCATGCTTTTTTAATGTTTATTTTGTAAAAATTTTATCTTATTTTTGAATTCATAAATTGTTTATACAAATTAGCTTCACAGAGGGAGTCCTCCATAGTCATTTAGCAGATAATGAAATTAGCCATAGGCAGCAATTTCTTGTTCTTTTTTTTCTCCAATGCAAACAAGTTTGTCTAATTCCTGCCTGAAATTAGTATTTTTCTTATGCATTCAATTTAATTGCATGCAGTTGTTTCAAAGCAAAATTTAACTTACTGTACCAGTTTTATATTAAGATTGTAAGCTAAAATGTGTTTAAAAATTGTACTCACAACTGTGTCTTTTAAACATTGATTTAAGACTTCCATTAAAAAGATGAACTGCAAGGAGTAGTTGGGCCATGTTGTTGCGTCCTGTGTGACTGCAGCAGATATACAAGTTTCCCGGAGTGGGTAGAATTAAAAAAAAAAAAAAAATTCCAGGAGTGGGTAGAATAAAAAACAAACAAAAAAAAGAGAGGGTGAAAAATCTGAGACCATTAACAATTATTAAAGCAAGAAGGGACAATTAATTAAAAGTGGGGCTACGGACCTGTCCAGAACTAGTAATTTAGGCCAGGCTTTTCACTGATGGATGGAGCCACACACAGTTATTAAAATTTCAGATTGCGTGCAATATTTTATAAGAGGTCATTGACAAGTATGCAAAAGAGAAATGCAATTAATGCTGATGAGTGCAGTCTGGAGCTTCAGGCGATATGGAGTTATTAAAATTAATCAAATTAATAACCAAAGGTGGTATCATTTCTTCTCTTTCCTGTTGCCTTTGCAGAGTTGCCGTGGAAACATTTTGACCAGTGATAAAGCTGTGGCAATAGCAAGGGCAGCTGACAGTATTCATGTGCTGGACCATATGATAATTTAATTGGCTCTTGAAATTGAATATTACTGCTCTATAACTTTGCATTAGTAAAAATACATAAATACTACAGTCATTTTAGCTTGTCTTGTTTATATGCACCTTGAGTACACACTTAAGTAATTACATGGACATTATAAGGATTTAAATATGGAAGCATTTTATTGTACTAACAAATGATTTAATGCCCTGTCAGATCAAACAACACATTAATGAATGTAAATTAGGGCTGTGCGATTAATCGAAATCGTCATAAAATCGCGATTTGAACTTGCACAATTTGCACGAGAACAGAACAGACCGGGCAGGCATACAAACGTAACGCCAGGTTCACACACTCGGTCTGTGGTGCGTATTTTTTCCGCGCCCATGTTAAGGGATCAGAGCGTTCACACTGCACGCGATTGCGGTCCGACAGTGCGCTTCAGGAGCGGTGCGTCTGCAGCAGTCATGCTGCGATCGTTTCCGCACGGAGTCTATTTCTGCTGTGCTGCACACGCTGAATTAAAGTGACAGCACATTATTCGCGGTAAAAATTAACATGGATTGACACGGAAATTGATAAAGCTCTAATTGGTTTTCTTTTGGAAATATGTTTCAAATTCACACTGAATGCATTAATGACTGTAAAGCATGTCTGTGTGTGTCAAAATTGTGATTAAAATCGAAATCGCAAAATTTATCAAAGAAATTGCGATAGGTTGTTTTTGTCCATATCGCACTGCCCTAATGTAAATTAATCCTTTAAAGGCACAGACCGAACTGGCAAATTAACATATTAATCATGTCAGAAGGCTGTAAATCATAAAGCATTGTTTGCAAATATTCTACACCAACTTACTGATAAGGAATACATGCGTAAATTCACATTTCCTAAGTTCACATTTTTGTTCCTAGATGCTTTAGACTGATACTAGTGTGTAGATTTTGCCTGATTCTTCATTTGAATGCATTTTGACAAATATACAAATTCCACTTTGTATAATACTTTCTTCTCTTTTTCTCCTTTTCACAGCTCAAAACTGCAGTCACACACTACACAGTCCAAATGGGACAATAGAAAGCCCCGGATACCCGTATGGATATCCCAACTACGCCAACTGCACATGGGTGATTGTGGCACAGGAACACAACCGGATACAGTTGGTATTTCAAGGCTTTGCCTTAGAGGAGGACTTTGACATCCTTTCAGTCTACGATGGGCAACCTAGTCCAACAAACTTACGGACACGGTAAATACAGAACATTTTATCATATTGTGTGTGTAAATGCCAGATCCAATCTCTTGGAATTGCTAGCTGACATTACTTTGCTAACAGTTTGAACTGTGTGAACTCTGTGCATGAACTTTGGGTTTACTTAAGTGTCTCAAAACTTGTTTAAAGTGCACTGAAAGGAATGCAAATTTCATTTTAGGAATGTGTCTATAATGTTTTGAACATTGAAGTCCACAAATTGATTTAGCACTTTTGACTTTATTGCTGTCTTGAGTCTGAATTTCTCCTTTGTATACTATGAAAATAAGAAGAAAATAATAGGATTGAGGCTCAAGGGATTGAGCAGAGCAGATATCCTCAGGGGGAGTGTCCTTGGGGCCTTGGCCTGTTTTCCATTCGAAAGCTAGCATTTTGAAAAGCTTGCCTACATTCATAGATCCCTTCTCAGATAGAGGATCTATGAATGAAGTGGAATGAAACGAGTTCTATAGAAAACAGTGTGGAACTCTGTAAATTTGTTGCTTTTTCCCACCCTTTTTTGTCACCTTTCTTTATTAATATCTGTGTGGGAAACGATGTGCACAAGGACACTTTCAAGATATTTTTTTTTCTATTTTTTTATGCTTCAAGATTCAAGGACAGCTTTCTGCACAGCCCCACGTTTCCATGGTGTTCTATGAATGTTAACCTTGTTCAGCATGGGCGGTTTACCCTGCCAGTGTATTATTAGTGTCAGCTGAACTCCATGTCTTAAAGAAATCAAAAGGATATTGCGACTATTCCGATAGGATGTTGTTTTATGATATTGATATTACGTGAGGAAGTCAGGGTTGCTGTACTAGTTGTAATGTCACACAAGAAGTCAATGAGTTTGAGCAGTGGTGTGCTTCTAAAAATCTGTTATGCATTGGAATGTTTTTAATGTTAGTGAAAATTATTATTAAGTGATACACTTCCATTCAAAAGTAAGATTTTTTTTTTTTTAAGAAATTAATGCTTTATTCAGCAAGGATGCATTAAGTTGATCAAAAGTGACATTTAAGACTAACAATGTTAAAACTGATTTATATTACAAATAAATCATATGTATATCTATTATAAATAAACAAATGTTGTTCTGAACTTTCTATTTATCAAATAATCCTGAAAAAATTATTTTTTTTCCACAAAAATGTTAAGCAGCAAATTTTTTCAACAATGTTTCTTGCACACCAAATCAGCATATTTAATTGATTTCTGAAGGATCATCATTTACAGTACTTTTGATCAAATACGCATCCTTTTAAATGGTAGTGTAACAGATTGTAAAGTCATATTTGGCAGAATGTTTGCAACATTGGTTGCGCTTTGAAAATTAAAAACCGACATTTGCAGTTGAGCTTTGAAGAAGCCAAGCTAACCATTTAACATAGTAACATAATGTCACATAGATAACGCTTATTACTACTGTGAAGACAGCAGACATGGGCATTAAAGTTAAAGAGGTTTATTGTGCTGTGCAGCGGGATGAATTTCTTGGCCTGAGATCATTCAATATCACTCGCATAGTCTGCTGCAAATGAAACCATTCCTCCCATGTGCTAACTGAGTTAATGACACTTTTTTTTTTTATTCCCTCTGTCTTAAACGAGATCCCATTGGCTGACCCTGCCGTTCCATTATCTTTTTTTTTTTTTTTTTTTTCACTGTGAAATAGGTCCAGTGAGTCATTGCCACATATTACCATCACTCTAATATCTTCAATCTCTGGTTTGATAGGGTTTACCCAAACACATTTATGAGTTAACTCATCGACAAGTCTTTACTCTTATCACACGATACCATATTATCCCTCCTAATTTCTGTTGAATCAGTTCTCAGCTAAAATGTAATCACCCTTGAGATTATTTGGTTTGAGAGCTGATTTAAATAAGTGCCACCCAATTTTATCCACCCAATTATTAATTTGCATCTGAAGCTATTTGCTTGTTGTTGTGGGTGGATTTGAATGTGTTGTGTGAAGAATACGACTGTACAAAAGGCCTCTGAGTCAGCTTGTGATATTTGCCATGTTTCCATTGTTCTACTTTGAATCTTAGTCAGGACTGTCAGCTGATCCTATTTGTTCTTCAACAGGTGTGTGCTATCATAAAACATAAAAACATGTTTATGCTTGAGAATTAACTGTCTCCCACATAAAGAATTTGCTTCTTGATTTTTTTTTTTGTACTGTGGTACTGTACCAGAGATGTTTTCGTAATATTATTTATATACTGTAGTATTTATTAATATTTTCTACTAGATTATTAACATTTAAATTTTAATTATATTAATTATTTAATTATATTAATTCTACTTTTTAATATACATTGTCTATTTAGCTTTATTTTTATTTGAAGTTTTAGTTTTTGTAATTTTTGTAATTAAACTAGTTTCATTTAGTTAATTTTTGAGTTTTTTCTTCTAACATTTATTTTATTGTTCGAGTTTCAATTAACCAAAGCGATATTTAGCAGTTAGCTAACAAAAACAACACTGCACTGCATTTTTTAACACCAATAATGGGCAGGAATAACATGTTAACACACAAAACCATTTAAGGGTAATGCAATATATGATATTAGATATTATCTCTGGAAATGCATTAACCAGTCAGCTGACATCCTTGACATGTAGGTAAAGATTTCAGTAACTGTCACCCTAATTGGTGCTGTGCAACTGCTGATGTTGTGAAGGCATCTGGGGAGCATTTTTTTAATATATTATACTGTCATGGGGGTGATGGGTATATATGGATATGTTGTAGTGCTGGGCGGTATACCGGTTCATATCGAATACCGGTGTTTATTTTTGTTATGATATGAATTTTTAAAATACAGCAATACCGGTTGTTTAGACATCGGATTGAGGACACACCAGTTTCCATGTTGGTGTTTCCTCGCAAGTATTTGCCCTTCATATAATTGGAGCTCCTATAACAGCGGTGATCTACTTTTCCTGCAGAATTTAGTTCCAACACACCTGCTTGCAATTTTTGAATGAGTGGAAAGACCATTATTAATTGGTTCAGGTGTTTGTTAGAAGTGAAAGTGAACTCTGCAGGAAGCCGGATCTCCAGGAGCAAGATTGAGCTAAAACATTTACACTCCATATGAGACAGAAACTGAGCTTTGGCTTAGTCCCATCAGCTTACACAGGTTTTCCAAATCCAACTACAGCGATCTCCTGCGTGAAGCTCAAGGACTGCCTCTTTTAAAGGGATAGGTCATCCCAAAATTAAAATGTTCTAATAATTTACTCACCCTCATATCATTCCAAACCTCTTTCTTTATTATGTGGAACATAAAATATTTTTTTTTGAGCATACATTGGAAGTGTTGAAACCAAAACTGTTTGGTTTCATCATTCTTCAAAATATTTTCTTTTGTGTTCCACAAAACACAATTTTCAAAACACAAAAAACTAAGTGTGTTGATTAATAACTGTTTGATGAATTACTGCTGTTTAATAAGCTGTTTTTATTTTCATATTATTAGATGGCTGATTATTCAACACAATTCTACAATTCTACATTATTTCAACAAAATAAATTAAGATAAAATGTTAAAAACTAAAATCTAATTTACATACTACACACGTGAATTTAGACATTACATTACAGTTTGAAAAATGGTTATTCATTTTGATATTAAATGTATTTGAATAGTTTTAACATTCAACTAGTAGTGTATTTGAACAAACTTAAATTATTAATATTTTTAGACTTACACTTAAGTGATTAAGGCATTCACACCAAGAATCATGACTATAAAAAACCTATGAACCTATGACAATTAATATATTAGCGTCCGCAGAAACAGATGGTAACATTGTTTATTACAATATCTCTAAACTATTTATGTCAGTATTTTTATTGTTCATCAGGTAGAAAAGAAACATTCTGAAAGTATTATTCCTCTGTTTCAGTATTGTTATACAGCAGATGTCAAGTGCACTTTCTTATTCTCACAGAATTAGAATGAGTATTAAAACTTTATAGTTAAAGTTATCATTATAGTTATTGTCATTGATGTGAACAGTCTTTTAGATGACAGCAAAGGTAGTTTAAAAGTAAAAATAGGCACTCAAAAGTGGCACAACTGTTTTGTAAGGGCATATTTTCTGGTAAAAACTCAATATGCCTTGAACAAGTGACAAGCAAAAATGGAAAACAAATCTCTTTATTCCCTGTACTGAAGAGTTCATGCAGTGGGGGTGTATGGGACTTGTGTAGTGCCAGGTGAGGAGTGGTGGCCACTTTGTTTAATTGTTCTTATTTATTTGTTTAACTCCAGGGCTGTGCTTCCTCTTGATATATGGGTGGCTCCCCAGCCAGCTCTTATGAAAGAGCAGGCCTCTGACAAATCCTATTAAATCAGACTCTGTCTTCCTCCTCCTCCTGCACTGAGTCCCAACCAATACTGGCAGCATTTGGTTCACAGCATGTGAGCAATGAACTCTACTTTTGATATCATTTTTGGATCCACTCCATATAAAAGAAAATATGTACCTTACTGGATTATTTCACACTTTCACAGAATTTATTGTGAAAGTGCTAATTTGATGTGCTGTCTGCTATATTCATCATCAGTAATTGCTACTTGCCAGATTCAATTCCATATAAATCCTCACCTGCAGTGGGTCCAAGAAAACAGTGTTTTTCAGTAATAACTTCGCTTTCAGTGCGGTTCCTGACACTTAAATCCTGAAAATGCAAACACATTTCATCAGTGGCGGTTCTAGACCACAGTAACTGGGGGGGCCAGGCATGGTGCTTCAAACTCATATAAATGGCAAAACAGAGAGAGAGAGGGAAGGAAAAAAAAACACATAGGTCATCTACTAAATATTTTATTTTCTTCTCAACCACCTCCCCCAGTATGATGAGATTTTGGTAGATTGTTGTCTTAAGGAAAGGGTCAGCACTTCCATACTGTAGACATCATGTACAATTTCTTGCCATTCACATACAGATGGGGGATCTTCCTTGAGCAAAA